AGTACGACTACAGAAACTGTGAAACGAAAGAGAAAACACAGTTTTTCGACAAAAGACAAAAATATGGACAAAAAGCTGTAAAAGCTGCACCTACATTAATCGAATTTCAATCTGAAAAAGAAAGGATATTAAAAAACTTTCAGGTAATTATTTTGTAATAATGATTATGGAGTAATACAAACTGGTAATGTTTCTTTAAAATTTTGTTGTAACATAAAAAGTAATTTGTATATGTGTTGTAGGTAGCCCATCGAAAAAATAGATTAACTGCATCTTTATTTGGGGCCGTCATAAAAAAACGACACACTACCAGTTCTCAGAATTTAGTAAAACAAGTACTATATCCTAAAGGAATTATTTATAGTGACACCATTGAATATGGAAAAACTAAAGAAAGTGTAGCCAGGCAAAAATTTTCAGAATCTCGGAATGTGGCAGTAAGAGAAAGTGGACTCTATATTGACAAAAATTATGCATACCTGGCAGCTTCACCTGATGGTAAACGTTTGAGAAATGTTTTATAAATATAATGAAATTAATTATTATAGGTTTTGTTGGAGAAAATGGATTATTTGAAATCAAATGTCTTTTTAAAGTTCACAAGTCTGGCAAATCTTTAGAAGAAATGTTAGAACAGGATAAGTCTCTTCGTGTGGAAATGGTAAATGGTCGTATAAAACTTTAGGTACCAGGGCAGCTAAATATAACTGGCAAAGATGTATGTTTCTTTGTTATATACATTAATGACCAGAATCCAATATACGTAGATGCTATTCTTCGTAATAAAATAATGTGGGAAGAAAAAATGTTGCCAAAACTTACAGCTTTTTTCATAGAATCTGTTGTGCCAGCTTTAGTAAAGCAAAATCTTTAGTTTTTGGCTGACCATTTAACATGTAACACATCACATTATAACTTGTTTATAATGCATGAGCGAAGTTAGGGAAAAATATTCAATAGCTATCACACACACGTTTCATAACAAAAAAATAAAAGACCATATTTTTTCAACAAAAAAAAATTGTATAATTTCATGACTCGCAGTTCAAACTTGATTTCAACAATGAGAATAAAAAATTGGCTAAGGTTGACCGTGGGCCCATTCAATTCTTTAGCTCTTGCAAATATTGAAAATGGTATTAGAAAATCCTTGATTCTAGATAATGTTTTGGAAGAATTTAAAAACGGGAAATCGAAATCTGTTGCTTGAATAAACCCGTACTAGTGGATGCGCGAAATAATGACAAACAACTAGTTCATAATCAAGGATCTTTGTATCAGAAACTTTTCAATTTATAGTTATTTAATTCTGAATAAAATCATATTTTTTTAATTTTCTTTTTTCTCTTAGTTTTCATATTTGTAGATTAATTGTACGGTAAAAAATATACCTACTTTACCTTAACACATACATTAAAAAATGAACAGAATGTACATACGTCTTCCCCCCCCCAGTTCTGATGACTTAACTTCGCTCATGTTATAGTGATACATAAAGGATGAACCTAAAGTAAAAAGTTGTATAAAGTCAATAATCGATATAAAGCAAATTTTTAGTTTTATTGGAAACAAGGTTCATTTCACCAGAAAAATTTAAAAATCATTTGACGTTTCATTCCTGATCAGGAACTTTTTCAATGGCACTTCTCTCTTAGGACATTTCCACATTTTCTTAATTTATTAATACCCTGTACATCTGATTTCAGATTTCAATATGCCAAACTTATTTTCTCGACAAGCAGGCATTTTTTTATTATAAAATCGATAATAAAGATTGTTTTCTTCTTATCAAGTCCACCCGGGAACACACTGTATGTAGATTCATATAAAATGTAATATACTTAATTGAAATAAAATTATTGTTCATGATTGTTTTTTTATCGTTTTTCCAAACATTCCTGTTTCACACAGTTTGCAATGTGTACATTCTGTATCATAAATAAATATGGTAGACAATGTATTATCAATATCATTTTTAATATAAAATACAAAATTTAATATAGAATTTGAAAATTAAATTATGAAAAATCAAAATTTTTGTCACCCCGCAATCATCAAATCATTTTTGATAATTGTTTAGAATTAGAAGAAGAGGTTATCATGCGGCGCTATCTATCGGACAGACGCCTAAGTTCGTTTTAGCGTATCTACCCGCCAGGGGGGGTTCATTTACTGAGAAAATCTATGTAATCAGACAATATTTCTAAACAAAGCGTATTTCAAACTTTTCTAAAAAAAATTAAGTAATTTTAGGCATGTTTATTTATATTATAAAAAGTCATAGTACTTAATAGCTACAACTTATTTCTATTTTTTAGTTGATAAAATTAGTTTTAAATTTAGAAATATAAAATTTAGTCATACAGATATACGTCCTATTTCATCAATTTTTTTTTCTATGAAATTATGGCTTTTGTGGATTTACAACGGAAATAACCTGTAGCTGCAACAATTTGTTACTCATATTTGCCTTGGAAATTTTATCTGATTTAATTATTCGCAAAAGTTAAAAACCGTATACATATTATTTAGGCTCTAAATTCAATATGGCGAATAAAAAAAATAATGCCCCCTTAACGAGTCACTTTCCTTAAATGTGTTTAAGAAATATCTTTGTAGTTATGCTATTAACTTTTAATTAATTGTTCTATGCTTATTTTAGACTAAATTCACTTATATTTGTAATATTAGGATGTTCCTATTTCTGAATAAAGTTATTATTATTATTAATAATCAAATATGCTTAAATTTATCTATGCAACTAAAAAGTGTAATGATAAAGTTTTTCATTAAAAGTCATTATTGATAATGCAATGTTAACAATTAGATGAACCCTCTCTTCCTGTAAATACATAATGCTTACACTAAAGGCAATGATTAACACAAAATTCCCTAAAGACAGAATGATCCAGTCGAGTACATATTACTTGAACTTTAATCTATAATAAAATATATTTTTTTGAAGTATCGAAAAAAATTATTTTTTAACAATTTTACTTACAAAACAATCATATTCCTATAATATATTTTGAATTGTCTAAATTAAAAAAATATTTTTCATTTGAAAAAGGTTAGCTTTTTATAAGCCAATGAAAATAATGTTAACACGAAACTATTACAAGTGGTTTTTTTCAGCACCTTGCCTGATAGGTCTTTGTAATTATTGTTCTTGCCAGCGTTGTTTAATATAAAATATACAACTGTTACTGACATTTAAATCAACAGCCACTTCACTCAAAGACCAATTATCTTCTAATTTAGCTAAAGCCCTTGCTCTATGCGCTTCAGTTAAATGCTCCGGCATATTTCATATTACTTGTTTACATTTAATTACGTTTGCTCTAAGTGACATATATATTTGACAACTACTGAATTTTATGACTATGATTTGAAGTTTAAATTACACGGTACAATATTGCCGTTCACATTTGGGTGGCGCCGACTGTACATACTAGAGTTGTGTGTTACAACTTCTTAGTAGATATGTTACCGCAACGTCTGGAAGATGTACCATTAGAGACACAAGCTAATTTATGGTACATGCACGATGGTACGCCCTCTCATTTCCATCGAACTGTACGTGATCTTCTTAATGAGTAATATCTCAACAGGTGGATAGGCAGGGCAGGACTAATTGTTTGGCCTCCACGGTCTCCTGACCTTAATGGATTTATATCTGTGAGGCAATCTGAAATCATTAGTATATGAATTGCCAATAGCTGATGAAGATATTATGCTTCGACAACGTTTAATGGAATCCTGTGACAGAATCTGTAATTATCCTGGAATATTTCAACAGATAGGCTTATGATTCGACATACACTAGTGTGTAGTGAATCTAAGGGAGTACATTTTCAAGATATGTTTTATAAGACAAAACAGTATGTTTGTTAGCATTGTCTGTTTCATTTTATGATATAATATATCATAGCATAAATGTTATAATCTACAAATAAAATATAATCTTTTTCATAGAAAGGTTGTGAAGCAAAACTGGTCGTTATTTGATGTACGATGAAATAACTGGAGAATGAAGGCTCATCCGAAAAAAAGTAAAGTTTCACTTTTTGCTCTAAAGGGAACAGGCAATTTAAAAATTCACCTATTTTTTTTTTTAGAGTCACTGACGTAGAAATATTTAAGAAATAAGGGGTCCGGCTTCCCTATATCTCCTCACTTGGATTACACTCTTAATCATTGAAGGCTTCAGGGTATGAGGGGTATGTAGTGTAGTATTCGTACCAAATATCGGATTATTCCCTCCTACCGTTTTCAAAATATTTGGAAAAAATTTTTTTTTTCGACTTTTCAACACCCCGTATCTCACACCAAGGAAACACCTTACGCAAAAATTTTATATGAAGTTTGTATATGTTAACTATTTAAAATTGACTTCCCTATTTCTAGACCTATGAGCCGCTACCAGTCAAAATACATTTTTATTTTAAATTATTCTTTTCAAAACACTTTCATTTCAACATTTTTTATTCAAAATATTGGTTAATCATATTATACCAACTTAACCCTTTCGCTGCGCAATACATTCGCGAGTTTATCGCGTGCGAATATATAGGTACGTCTGAAGTAGCTACACCACTTATAGTTTTACATTATGTCGTGTTAAATTACGATTTATGATAAATTTTACGATTTTACTTTAAATAAAATACAGTATATCGACAGCTGTACTAAATAGAAACTGAAAGAGAGATGAACAATCTTGGCATTATTACCAGTACCTCCTTCCATAAAAATATTTGTCACAATCGCTATTAACTCTGCCCACAAAAATTCCCTATACTAATTGCACTAATGCGCATGGTTGCGAATATATACGGTTTGAGCAGCCTGATCCAATTTAACTATTCTAGCAAATTAATCCGTCTGGAGCAGTTAGAGCCCTATAAATTTTTAGCAAATAAATACGTCTGGAGCAGTGAAAGGGTTAATAAAATGTATTCACTTCATTCATTGCAAAAAATATTGAAAACAATACTTACATAAGCTATGCTGAGTGTAAATTTTCCTCGAGTTTCAAATGTTTGCTCTGGTTTAGCCGTTTCCACACCGTAAGAAGTAATTTTCCCTGCATGGGATCCAGAAATTATATATTTATCATCTGGACTAAAAGCTACTGTCCAGAGATCAACAGGACCAACATCTACATTTGCTACTTTTTCTCCCTTTTCTAAATCCCAAATTCTCATGCTTGAATCTAATGAACTTGATGCACATACTTAAAAGATATCAAATAGCTTGAATTAAGATTAATAACTTATATTACAATAATATTACAGTATTAAAATAGATTTTTTGAAAAACTGTCGTTGAAAGTTAATTTTTACATATTTATTAGGTGTCAAACCAAGTTTTTTGTCTATAGAACGAAAGATTCACATACAGCCAGGATGTAAAAGACTTTTACATAGGTGATTGAATCAGTTCACCAATTTATTTTTTATCGTCAACAAAATCATAAATTATAACAATAATTAATAACCAGTTTAATTACACAGGCAGACAAAAAAAAAATCGTATCTTTTTGAGATCTGACCCCAAACATCCTGAATAATTCCCCTCAAAATTAAAATTTTTAAAAATTCAAACTAGCGATCCAACCCACCTATCTTTGGTAAAATTTTCCGCTGAATCTGAGAATGATAAAAAGAAAATTTTCTGAGGTATAGATTTTCCCTTACACACCCTCAATTCTCCCCAAAACTTAAAAAGATCCAAACTGACCATCCAACCTACCTATCTTTAGTAAAATTTTCCGCTGAATCCGAAAATGATAAAAAAAATATGACGTATGGATTCCCCTCCACACACAATCAATTCCCCCCGAAAATTAAAAAAATCCAAACTGGCCTTCCTACTTACCTGTTTAGTAAAATTCAGTGAATCCGAAAATGATAAAAAAATAGTTTGAAATGTGAGGTATTTTTTAAATCCAGGTTATAACTTACCCTGGATTGGTAGATGCCTTGATAGGGCCCCAGGGCTTGAACTCGCATTTTGATTGATTGCGGAATTAAAATGCTAAAATATTTTAGACAATAACTTGCATTTTAGTTCAAAAATTTTTTAATTTTGGTTTTACCAATAGATTTTATAAAAGTTATAACGGTTACTACATCTGATCTGTATTTATTTTTATTTTTGAAAAAAGCAAGTGGAGATACGGATGAGTAAGGGGAATCCCCCACATCCAAACAAATGTTTCGCCATTTTCGGATTCGGCGAATTTTACTAGGTTGGATGGCCAGTTCGGATTTTTTGAATTTTTGGGGAGAATTGAGGATGTGTGGGGGGCAGGGGAGAATCAATAAGTCAAAAATTTTTTTTTATCATTTTCGGATTCAGCGGAAAATTTTACTAAAGATAGGTGGGTTGGAGGGCTAGTTTGGATATTTGAAAGCAAGGATTTTCTCACAGCTTAGTTAATATGAGTGCCAGATTTTCCCGCCAAAAATACCATTTTTGCCTTATGCGACGAAAATAAAAAATGTCAATTTATCAGCACCTTAATGAAAACACTAAATTAACTAAATTTGCGTGAACTTTTGTATCAATTAACTTTAATTCATCGATAATTCTGCTGATGAATTAGCCGAATGAAGGTATTTACTACATTTGTGAATGTAATTTCAATTCCAAACAAGGCTCTAATCTGCGGATTAGTTGTTTCCTAGAATATCATTAGTTAATATATAATGCTTTTTTCACGAGTGAAGTCGTATGTTGCAGTACGTGTAGTATGAGAGCCTATTAAATTTTTCCCGAGTACTGCCATCAAGAAGAAGCAGACCGTGTGGAATATATGCATTCCTTCATACAGCAGTTCACGAAACAATTGAATGGCCAGTGTGATTTTTGTCACAAATTTAAATCTGCCAAAAGATCGTATTGTGAAGTGAAGTGAATCGTCATAAAAGTGTAGATAATACTTATCTCATAATTTGTAGAATATACCTATAATATTCAGGGTGAATCTTAAATGTGTACACATATTTTAAACAGCGGTGCTGTTTGCTGTGTAGAAAAATTAGAAAAAAGTAAAATTTAGAATATACGTTTTTAATAGAAAACTTGACTATAGCATTTATACATAATATTAATCAGCTATGCTGTGCTACCAGGTTACATAGAACTCTCAAATTCTAACTTTTTATATGAAATAAGAAGAAACTTTAAATTATCTTTATAGAAATGTTTATGGCTTACTTACTCCTACTCTTGCCACTCCTACCAGGAGCAATAACCAATTTATATGTACACAAATATTGAGCTTTTGAGGGATGGATATCTTACAAAATGTGTACACCGAAACCTAATTTTAATAACTTTTTCCATATTTCTTTAAAATTTCATACATTTACATATTCTATTTGCTACATTTCTGATGTATCTAACGTACGAGTATATAGATCAAATATGTCTCCTCCTTGTGCCAGGAAAATAACTTCCTCCAAATTACAAATCGTTTACCTGCTACTGCTAATTTTCTTAAAGGACAATTCTTGGAAAAAGTGTTGACAATTCTTTTTTTAACTGATCGGAAAGCTCTAGCAATTTTAATACTGCCTGCAAAAAAAGTTTATGGTGTACAAGAGCTAAAAAACAATTATTAGTTTGGCACCCAGCTACAGAGAGGGTTTAATGATATTACAATTTAAGCAGTAGATAATTCAAATGCCACTGTTTTGTGTGTTGCAAAAAGTTTGTTATTTTTCATACAACTAAAAACGGATTTTAATTTAAAAAATATGGTATTCAATTGATTTCAACTTTAAAATGTCATAATATTTCTTGTTATGTTGTATAGTGTTTTGAAATATCTCAAAAATATTAGGTATTTATTGTTACAGATTTAGCAATCAATAGAAAATGATAAATAGCAACGTAGGTACTTAAGTATCTTATTTGATTTCCCAATTATCTAAAGACCAGTAAATTTTATGAATACTTTACAAGAATACTTTATTGCCACAAATTGATTGTACATTTTAAAAACATTTAAAATTATTTAAAAAAATAGTGGCATACGATTTTTTTTTTTTTTTCAAAAAAGGTGCCCTAGTCCGCCAATAACTACGCCACTGGAGTGTATTTTGAAATAAGTTGCCCATGAAAAAATAGTCCCTACTAAAAAATATCATCCCCCAAATTTTATCACTCAATCTTTTATGCCAGTGAAGTTACAGGAAAAATCATATAAATATTTGAAACTTTTAACAGGGAAGTTTAGCAAAACTTATCTACATATAACACCCTGTATAATGTAAATTTTTATTATATAATTTAATATATTATTATATAAATTCAATAATCAAATTTTGATTAAAATTAGTATGAAGTGAGACTTTGAATAGTGTAGAATAGCCTACAGAATAGTATATTAGATTTTGGACAAATACAATTTTTCAAAATTTAGCTGTGAAAAAAATAGCTGAGTAAGATTTGAGAAAGTTCTATGTCCGAATATGTGGTTTTTTAGGGTTTATTAAAAATATATTTGTGCTTCATTTGTTCTTTACTTATTATGTTAATAGATTGTAATCTATAAATTGGATAAGGAATGCCGTATGTAAATATGTATTTAAATACATACACTGATATTACAACTTAATAATGGTTTATGCAGAATGTAAAATAAAAGTATGGAATAGCAGGAATAGTCTAGCAAAGGACTGAAATGAAAACTAGAAAGTAAGTTGAATATTTTGATTACCTTCCATGTGAACAGTAGTTCTCAAGATGTACATGTGAACAAGCAGATTAAAAAAAATGTATCCATAAATATTTACACATTTAAAATTCACCCTGTATAAAGCAGACATTTTCGGTTTCAGGGACAGTTTCATAAACGTGAATGTGAAACATAGAAATGCCAAAGTAAAGAAAATAGTTGTCCATGAGATTAAAATATGTTTTGTTTTCATTGAATATGTAGTTAAATTATATAGGTTAGGTGATATACAGGGTGCTTCTGAAATAAGTGTGTTCCTTGAAAAGACTGATACAGGGCACGAAAAAGAGCAACTTTAATGTGCACATACATTGTGTATCGCAGTATTACTTATCCGGCACATAAAATGTTTATTGGTGTGATGCAAATCCTCACAGAGATCTCGGTTCCAGCAAGGGTTTTCAGTGAATGTGTGGCGTGGTGTTTTTCGTGACAAAATTTTGACCATCATATGGAAGCATGTTTATTAGCAATGGAAACAACTTTGAACAATTTTTGTAGAGCATATAATCTATTGGTAAGTAATTTGTTTATTTGTTAAATTTTTGTATTATTTTTAAACGAGATTTGAATAAATTTCAGCATTTTCAAAAACAAAATTTGAACCATCAAAACACCAATAAACGCTTTTGGCCTGTGGCGCGCGGCTGTTTCAATATCAAAGGTACAGCTAGCTGCCGCACCAGGGACGGCTTTAAATTTGTTTTAAGGCCGATTCTCACTTGCGTGCAAGGCATGTGCTCGGCACAGGCAAAGCACCGGCTTGGCATAATATCTTAACCGTTGTATCTTATGGGTTTTGAGGGGTGTAATTCACACTATATGTGCAGCGTCTCGTCAACCGACAGACTTTGCACGCGACGTTCTTCCGAAAGAATATTTGCAGGGCATGTGCCGTGCCTGTTCCGATAAGTGTGAATACTCTCCAGGCAGTCAACTTGCAATCATAGTTTAGCTGAGTTTCGTATTGACAAGAAAATATGAAGCGTCAGCAGAGGCTCCCTTTTTCGTCAGAACAAGATGAAATTCTTATTTAGTATATCAGAGAAAATGAGGTTATTTACGATTTGTCTCATAAAAAATATACTATAAAAAAATACTCGGACAATGTCTACATAAAACAAACACGATTTCTTAACAATAAAATTTTGTTTCACAAAGCTAGGGAAATACTACCTGCGGCATGCCTGTCGCAGTGTGAATTGTCTCTGAAAAATCGGCCTGTGCCAAGTATGTGCCCTGCCGATGCCGATCCGGTTCCTTGCTCGTCTAATGAGAATCGGCCTTAAACCTTCATGTGAAAATTTTTTTTTTTCAATTTAAAATGTAATGATTTAAACAATCAGTTCCATCATAAAAATTGCTTATTTTCGTGCCCTCTATCACCCTTTTCAAGGAACATATTTATTTCAGAAACACCCTGTATATGTTACAGTATGTTAATACATGTGTATAGGCATCATTTTTTGACATGGTTACCGAAGTATTTGCATTTGCAGAAATGAAAAAAAATATTCCCACTCGTAAGCAGATATGCTCATATCTTTTTTGCAGATGACTTTACACCACCAGTCTTGATTTCATTTTCAAATTTTTTCTCTAGCATTCTTTTAGTATTCTTAACAGCTTTCTCTTAATTATTTTATTAGGCATAATCAAGATGTTTCCGAAACAAATCTGTATTATCATGAATATTTGATTTCATTAGAAAAAACAAAATGGAATTTGTGGAAATCGGAAATTAATATTGGAATATTCTGTCACAAAAATTATTGGAAATAATCTTGTAAAATGTGATTTTATCAAATTAAAATCTCTGCAGTTATTCTTATTTCAGCAGCTGGAAACAAGATGAAATTGATGAGAAACTACAGTTCATAATTTACTGAACGAAGGAAATCTCAAATAAGTGCAATTGTGATAGTAAATTGGATTTACAAGACTACTAAAATATTTATGTAAAATCTGTTAGAAATACAAAAAAAAATACAGCAGAATAAACTTGAAAAAAATAAAATCTGAACTGAAGTAAAATTTTCTGCAAAATACATGAGCATATTCGTTTAGCGGTGGGAGAATTTTTCTCATTTTTGTTAAATCTACAGGACAATTTCAACAATTGGGGCAAGCAATAGTCCAGACGATATATTATTATCTTTGGGGCACTCTGAAAACAAGTGTATGCTTCCACATCTAATATTGAAGAAAAGTTGTGGAGGCATATCAAAATTGCCCTCAGGAACTGCAAAGGGTGTCCTTTAACTTTCTTCGCCAAATTAACCTTTGTTGTAGAAACAGCGGTGGTAATTTTGAACAGTTTTTATAATAAGTTGTACTAAAATTAATAACATCAACTTTGTTACTTTTATCTCCAGCATATTTTATTATATTTGATTGTCTTTACTAATTGTCTCAATAAAATTAGGTATGGTGTAAAAAACTCTAATTCGTCATATACGAGTGTGTATCCATATCGAAAAATGAAGTAACATGTAGTATATCTTATCGTAGTAAACACTCATTAAGAAATGTTAGGTACAATGACTTAAAGATCAAACTGAAATTACAGTCAATCTACAAAATCAGTGCCTACTAGCACTTTGTTAGGTATTTTAATATGGGTGGCAAGATAATGTAGACATTCAAAAAATATTTTTTTGTACCCGAACCGCTCATTTATATATAAAATTCTCGTGTCACAATGTTCGTTCCCGTACTCCTCCGAAACGGCTGGACCGATTTTGATGAAATTTTGTGTGCTTATCGGGCAGGTCTGAGAATCGGCCAACATCTATTTTTCATACCCCTAAATGTTAAGGGTGGTCCACCCCAAAATATTTTTTTTGTCGTTTTTAGGACAAAATTTTATTTTTTTATTTTTTTATGATGTGGCCTTAAAAAATACATACAATCCTAAATTTTCACCCTTCTACCATCAACCCTTACTTTTTAATAGCGATATTAGTAATTCAATAATTTTCAACCCCGGTCGATAACTGATCAATTATCACTTGATCATTTTTTTTATCCCCGCCAGGCGTCGACCGGTGTCACTTCTGACCCAGTAAACAGCACGGAGTAGGGATGAGATCTCTCTCACACAATGAGCCGTTTCTCACTCCCTACAGTTTTCGGCCATTATTATTGTTTGTGCATCAACCATAATAATGACATTTACTATTACCATTCATAAAAAAAATATATACACGATATACACTGGATAACACTAAATATAATATAGATGGTAGAAGTGAAATTTCGTTATGAAAAATCTACTAAAATAATCCTAGGATTAATTTATATGGCAAAACAACGTTTGCCGGGTCATCTGCCTAGCTATATATAGGACATTGTCAGGTTATCAGTCGATCAAATGAGGACAACCTAGGCTTATTTACTGTTGATGTCCTCAGGACATCAGCCGGGCTATTATCAGGTTATCAGTGGATCAAATGTGGACAAGGTAGGCTTTACTATTGATGTGCTCAGGACATCAGCTGGGCTATGTACAGCACATTTTTAGTACTTATTGAGCTAATAAAAAAATTGCAGAGTGGTATTAAATATTTCTATAGATCAAATACGTACCTAATTTCCAAAACAATTGCTTGCCATTTCCGCTCCATCTTATATTTTTCATTCAAAAAAAAAGTATTGACATACAAAAAAATGAAAAGAGAAATCTGAATCAGAAATCAGTTATATGTAATACGAGATTTGATTTCTTTGAATACCACTGGAATAAAAATTAACAATACAATATTTTGGATCTGTTGATTATATTCGCCTTAAATACGTGAAGAGTAGTTTTAAAATTCTCTTTTCATGAGATTTAGGCATTTTCACATTTTTCTGCAAGGAGTATCTAATCGTTGATACCATGTATGTATTTCTTAAACATTTTACTCACCCACTAACTAAAATCTGACAACAAAATTCTGTAACATAGCCACCGGCAGATATTTTTCTGTTTAAGACTACATAACAAGTTTTCAGAAACATCTCCAAATTATTTAGATATACACATCAATGGTTCATATTATTCATAAAACTCTATTCTATGGCATATTCATGACTAAAGTCTGAAACCGCTGAGTAGTTATTTCCTCCAATATTGGCAGCTAAATATCGGTTCACCTAATTGACGAGAGAGATCCTGTTTTAATAGTACCTATACAGTGACTTTACTAAGATGGCAATCACATCTGCCATGAGTGGTTGAGTGGTTGAGTTTGTATATTTTATCTCTTATACGTATTTAGTGTATGTTTTTGAATTTTACTTATATTTTATCCCAATTTTTTTTGTGGAACTGGTGTGGCTCAGTAGTGCGGAACCTCTTCCTATAATTACCTTTGAATTTTTGAATAAAAATTATTATATTCCTTTTTTTTTGGTAATTTTCAAATTGTTCCATTTTTGTTAATTTATCGAGTATAGTGCTAGGCTAAAAACTTTGAATCTCCCAGAGATCGAGAAGTTTGTTTTACTTGATAATGATATTAAATTGACTTACAAGTGTTCATTTTCTACAATTTTAACAGAAATGCACTGTTTTTGCCACTATCTTAATAAATAGACTGTAGTATCTGTGAAATTGCAGTGTACTCTTTATTAGTGTGGCCATATTAAAGGCCTAAGTATTGCATAAATGTAGGACTCTGCTGCGTGTAACCTATAGGTACTTGTACGTCGGGATTATTGAAATTGTAAAGTTTTAAAAGAGCGACACTTATACACAAATTCTAGCACACTAAATTTCATTTAAATAGGACAGTATTTTACAGAATTTGGAAAAAATTAAAAAGTTCCCTCTTTCAAGGGAACTAGCAGCAAACTGAAACAACTTTGGATAGAGTCGTTTATTTAGATTGTCCTATTTTGAGCCTAGGGTAGTTCCATGTACATGGCACAATGGACATGATATAATAGATATTATATAATTCATTCATTGGAACGAATCCATTCCTTTACATACATGAATAGCTCAAACTAAATGCATCTCAAGTACAAGTAATACACATAGCTTTGTATTGGATTATAGAAATGATTTTTTTATAATCATGAAAAATGCATTGTATAATTTGAATCTGATATAAACTTCCTAATATTTAAATGCGGAATACAAAATTTTCTTACATTTGCCATTGTTGCTTATAGCTACTGATACAACACCCAGGGAGTGACCCTCGAGATTATATTTCAAAGTCAGTCTATCATCTTGAAGTTCCCACACCTTCACTAAATCATCCACACCTCCTGTTACTATATAATCCATAGAAGTTTCATCGGATACTGAATCCCTAAAAATGAGTAAATATTATGTTGAAAAAAATTGTCTTAACAGTTAACCCTCAAATTAGTATACACCTTTCCAAAACTAAATAATATCTACGTTCAACTTATTTCATCTGGAAAATATTTAAAGTACTGTAAGTTTGTTTAATAGAGTTCATTATGACGCAAACTACGTTTAAGTCATGGTTATGAAAACAGCAATGGTTTCCCAGCAACAGTGGTTCACATTATAATTTTCATTCATGTGTTAATGCCTATTAACTTTTAACACCCATAGATTCAAATGACTCAAAAATCGGATATATTTCCAGTCCTCAAAGATAAGAGTAACTGCCGCCCTTATGTAAAGATTATAAATTTATACATATTATTATATTATTTAATAATGACTGTTAAATTTCTCTACATGAATAGCTTCATAATCATTATTTATGAAGGCCTGAACGTTCTTATACATTTCCAGGCTATATTAAGGGTGGCACTTGTTTACAATATATTCACATAAAAATTATTTAACGATGTCTGTTAAATTTCTGTTTTAATAATTCTAATTCACGAAGGCTTGTATGCTATAGTATAATTCTGGGACGTATTAAGGGTGGCAACCGCTCTTATGTAAAAAATATTCGTATAAAAACTATTTGATGATGTCAATTAAATAATGATGTCTGTTAAATTTCTCAGCATGAATAACATAGCTCTTTCTATAAACTCCTGTACATGTCGGTGCCATATTAAGGGTGTAGACAGAGGTAATTAAGCTATTCATGTAGAGAAATTTAAGACATCAGTAAATAATTTTGTAGAAAGATGTAATTAAGCTATTCGCACAGTGAAATCTAACAGACATCGTTAAATAATTTTTATATCAATATAAGGACGGTTGCCACTCTTAACATGGCCCAAAAATATACAATAACATGAAAAAGAAATTTAATAGACATCAAATAATTTTTATTTTTTTTGCCTAAGGGTGACTGCCATCTTTAATACAGTTCGGACATATACAAAACATACTGGATGTTGTAGAAAGAGCTATTCACGTAGATAAATTTAGCAGACATTATTAAATAATGTTTATATATTTTCTACATGACGGTTGCCACCCTTAATATGAATGTATAGAAGATGACCTGTTGGCTGAAAATTCAAAGGAAAATCGAGAGGAAAATAGTACATGCCAATTTTCAATTGGCAGGCTAAATAAATTAATGGTAAATTTAACGATAGTAGCTGCAGTGCTGAAAATATTTATGGTTAAGAGAAATACATGTTTCCATTTCTTTAGATACACATTAATCATTTTTCCAGTTATTTCAAAACATACTTTTTTAGATATTCTTTTCCTATGATTTTTTAGAGAAAATAGTATAGATGGCAATAGACAAATGTCGTATATAATACAAAAAGGTTAATAATTTCAATAAAAAATACAGAAATCCGATAAAAGTAAGTGCTTCAGAAATGTATGTTTTTTACCAAACACTACTTATGACTAGAGAGCGGACAATGTGTGACTTTAACCCGAAGAATAGGTCAAATTTTGGTAGAGATGTGTACGCGTTCAAAAATGTATTGTGTATAAACTATGCAAAATATAATTATTATGTATAGCAAATATATCGTATTATCCTCGCCAAGATTTGTACCCTTTATTTAAAATCCATAAATCATGTGAACAGGTTAAATAACGAGAAAATAATTAAGTTAATTTAGTTCTAAATAAATGAAATGACACTCGCGCCCATCTCTAGTCTATCCGTCGACATCGGTTGCGTTTATCGAATTCCTATTGGTCAGAATTCAAACTGCAGCCCCGTTATGAATGGAGCGTGAGTTGGACTATTCTATCATGTGCGTCGCCTGAGGATATTCGTTACATTGACTCCTAATTTCCAATTAAAAGAACGACACTATTTTTAACCGAACTTTATTTAATAAATATGTAGTATACAATTTCTGATTTCCTAAATATTTTATAACGCCTAAAAATGTATGTACCGTGGAATTTTCGTGAATTATCATGGGTAATGTATCTAGGTTTATGAATGACATATCTATGTTCAAGGTTAAAGTCACAAATTGTCCGCTCTCTGCTTATGACACAGTGTAAGAAATTAAGACTACATGAGTTCATTGATCCTGTTCTTTCAACTTCCATATTTTCAAGTGTAATGAAACGAGATAAATTTTACTTTATTTTCAAAATACCTCATTATTGCGATAATAATCAACTAGCTGGAGAGGACAAATTATATAAAATTAAGTTTGTAATTGATCATCCAACAAATAAATCTGCAGAAGCAATTATGTCATTTGAAAAGCTTTGCTTAGATGAAAATCTCGTTTTGTCAAAGTATGGCTATTTTCGAAGCAATACATTCCGGAAGCAATACATTGTTTTGGCAAGAAGTTATTTAAGTATGTGACTGTACAACAAAATTTTGTTTAGATTTTAGAACTATACTGGATCTAAAACAGATTTTAATAGACCTTTTTAGTAGCGACGTCACATATGCCAAATAATAGACAACCCCATAGTACACATTCAGCCCTATGCTGTATGAACATTGACTTCATATCAAGGTTGAAATTATATGAAAAAATGACATTTAGACAGACATTTCAATAAAAATGGAGGTTTACTATGCTGTAAAAAACAAATTGATTGAAATTTGTCAAGGGTTTGAAATGATGTCAAGTAACCTTGAAAACTTCTAATGTTGGTATGCACTAAAGCAGAAATTGATATAAAACTGCAGATCAAGGTTGACAAATGTCAAGAATTGTAACGGAAATCGAAAACCTTCACGTTACGAAACTTGAAACCAATTTAATCAAGAATTCTTGTTGTCTTGAGGTGTGTTTTGCTGACATTTCTTATTTACAAGCATTCTAAAATGGATTTCATTTAATATGTTGAGTTATTAGAAGATGAATTACAAAGGTAAATATAAAGAATATAATAAATATAAACTGATGTACATACGTTACGTACGTACCTCATAAAACTTTTTTGTAGACAAAATATGAATAGAAGCAGACGAATTTTAAGAGACCAAAGTGATCCATTGTCATTATCCGAGTTAACGTTTAAAGGGCTATACAGAGTATCGAGGGAATTGGGACATTGGTTATTAATTGAGATTGGCCCACATTTGAGAGAGAGTGAAAGGTCGACAAGTATCCCTAAAAGTATGAGGGTAAGTACCTATTTAAATAAACTTTAATGTGAAATGAATGAATGTAGTTAGTTTCTACAAAAACTTTTGGCTAAATAAGGCTTGTATAGATCGGTAATTTAATTATCCAAAAGTTTATATAGTACAGGTATTTTTTTAATTTTAAGTGCTTTTTAGTTATTTGCAGCTTTACATTTTATGAGCGAAGGATCATATCAAAGAGGCATAGGTCAAGATTATTTAACAAGTATGCATCAGAGTTCCATAAGCCGATGTCTGTCTGAAGTAACAGATTTTATAGTGGAATTACTTGGATATGTGATCAGATTTCCTGAAACTGAAGAGGAAAAAAATCAGGAAAAGTTTCAGTAAGTGCATTCTTCGTTAACAAAATTTCTTAACACTTCTGGCTAGTAGTAGAGACCAAAAAGTAGTAACGAGAATTTTAGATTTACCCAATTGGGCGGATTTCCTGGTATAACAGGGTGCATTGACTGCACACAAATTGCTATAATTTCTCCAAAAACACATGACCCTGAAATGCCTGGGGTGATATTTTATTGCCGAAAGCAATATTATAGCTTAAATGTGCAGATAGTAAGTATACATTTTAAATTATCACACGATAAACAATTAAAATGGTTAGAAGTAATATTTATATTTATTTATGTTTGTTTATGTAAGTACAATGTTGTTATTGTTTGTGATTATTTTGTGTTAACAGGTTTGCAGCGCACATTTAAAAATTCTTAATATTAACGCAAGATTCTCAGGATCCGTACATGATTCAGCAATTTGGCAGTCATCATTGGTTCGGACCCACTTGTCAAATAATTTTGGGCAAAACAGGAACCAATTTACATATTTATTAGGTAAATAAGCTACTCAAATCACTCTTATCCTTAACAGCATTTAGTACCTATTCTCTCTATAAGTTATTCATTCTTTTTCGTTTCTAAGTGCCCACTCTATATAGATTATTAACAATTAAATTTGCAGGAGATTCGGGTTACTCTTTAGAACCTTGGCTGCTGACTCCTATTGCTCAACCAGAAAACAATAGTGAACGAGAATATAACCGGTCTCAGAAACTCGTAATGTCATCGAGAGAACCAATGGTATCTTGAAGCAACGATTTAGATGTATTTTTAAACATCGAACATTACATTATATTCCAGTTAGGGCAGCACAAATAATTTATTCCTGTGCAGTATTACATAACCATAATGATGAAAATGACGAATTAGAAGATAATTATATAGATTATATAAGAAATAATTTGCAGGAAGGTCGTATTGTACGAAATAGGGTAATTCAAAATTATTTTGGAAACATATGAAGTTTCATGCCATATTAGATTTAATATTTGTTTATGAATAAAATAATATTTTATATCAATAAACATATCCATATGAAATAAAATATTTTTGATTTAATATTTAAGTGTTTTTATTTATTTTAACAAGTTTTCTAATGCCACATTCAAAATAATTATACTATTTTTTAAATAATTGTAGTTTTTTTCTAACATTTTGATGTGACTTCATGCAGCACAAATGGTTCAGCTGAAAATGCAAAATAATTAATAATAAAAAAATAATGTAAAAAGTTTCATACTAAAAGATTTTCCTTGATGTCTTTTTGTCCTTTTCTGTTTATTTGTTTCATGTATTTTTTTTCTTATTTTTTATTTTGAAACCTAATTCTACAACTTGGGGGGGTGCCCATATATTAATATTTTTGACAAAATCTCCAAGTTTTTTTTTGTAGATTTGTTAAAATTTCAATTACAGCGATGCCACCTCCAGTTAATTCTTGTTCAAAGTGAATTCTCCTAGCTTTTACTTTGGATTCCCACTCGTTAAAGATCTTAAAATGTACTTGATTAATTTTATATATTACTAGCTAATTTAGATAGCATTTATTACATATTTATTCATGTGTAAATAATGAAATATAAATGTAAATTATATCTGATAAGCAATTTTAAGTGATAGTGATAAAAACAGACCTACAAGGAAATATGTTATACCCGCTTCCAATTGGCAGCATTCCTTTGTTGGCTATGATTTTCTTTATTTAACTCAATACAAAGATTGTTAAATGCTTCACCATCTGTACAAATATTCCTTTTGTATTCTATATACATTTCATACTGATGGGCAGTAGTTTTTTGTTTCTTAACTATAAATAAAATATAATTCCAGTATTCAAGAAACATTCATATATTTAAAAAGACATATAACGAGAGGTTCGCTTCTATTATTAAAACATCTTATTTGGTCTCACGAATTGATGTTGCCAAATTATTAATTGAATCTGCAAATACGATAATTGATTTTGCAATCTCCTGCAATCCCTCATTTGTTGTTTTTATGTGTTCACCCAAAAGTACTAAAATTGATTTAACAATAATTACTCGATTTTATATATATATAAAAAAAATAATATTTTGAAATATCTTCCACTACCATACCAAACCATAAATGTATCTAATTGGTATACGTGGTAGGTACTCTTACTTACGTGTTGTCGATTTTAAGGTTGTGCTAGGCATTTTTGCTTTTTTTGATGAGCCAACATTTTTGTTTTTAGCCCTTTTCTTTTTATCGCAAATGTCATCGTCAGATGAATCGGATACTTCCTGTGAAGTTCCAGGAACTTCCAGTAAATTTTCCAGTAATTCACCTTCGGGTACCTCTGAAGTTTTAATTTAATTTAATTTAAGTTTAACTTACCAAGTTCTTTTCCAAAACCCAACTCTGGAATATTCTGAACTCCTGAACACGAGGCAAACAATCCATTAATGTTTGCACATTTTTCTTCTAGGTCTGTAAGGGTCTTTTCACCTCTTATTTTTCCCTTTATATGGGATTTTCATTCTATAAATGCCTGTAATTTAAAATATATTTAGTAATTTTATTTAAAACTTGCAATTTGATATGTAATACATATTATAAATACCTACTGTTATTTAAAATTTGTATTTTTTAAGTGTAGGTAAATAATGGGGTCATTTCCCATTTTTCAATGAACAGGTATTTACATTTAATGATACATAATCAACAAGTACACAAAAAAAAATGTTTGTGCACCTCAAGTAACTTTAAAATGAGTGAAATTTAAATTTCTTAATGACCGCCGAAATCATGACGTCACAATTTTGTCATGCGCAGTATTCGCGAATGCAGCTAAGAGCTCGCCTTCTGGCGGTGCCAAGTGATACTAGCGAAACGAGGTAAACATTTCTTCTATATGTGACAATTCGTTTTGTATTTTATTTAAAACCGTGTTTAGTGATCGTTTTTTGAACACTTATTCTAAGAAAATACTGTGAGGAAAATTTCAGCAATTATGGATAGAAAGAGGAAACTGTCAAACTATTATTGTTCAGTTCAAGGTTGTTCTTCATGGTCCAAGAAAAATCCAGAATTAAGTTTTCATCAAACCATTGAAGAAATTTACAAAATAGTATTGCCGATAGATAATACTCCCTGAATTTCATGAGGGTTGTTAGTAAGTAAGGGCACTAGTCTGCAGACATAATATAAATTTCTAAATTTAAATTAACTTTGCTCAATTTTCCCATATAGTACCACATGATCAGCCTTAAAAACTGCCTCTCCTTCTAATATACAACGAGAGTTTTCGTTAGCATATATGTAAATAGGAAATGTATTCCACAACGGATAAGTTCATAGTTATAACTTAATAAAATGTACATTA